TAGCCCTCCACTTGGAGCACGAGGCCACTCATCTTTGCCTTGCATAAGCACATTGCGTCGCAATGTAACTCCAGCCAGACTTTGACCGCGGCTAGCTGGACTATATCTTCCCGTCAAAGCCTGAGCAAGGTCGACCATTTGTCGATTGCGATCCCGACGGCGGCCCGTTCCACTACCTGCTGGTTGATCAAAGTTTTCCAGAACAACATTTCCAAACAGTCTGCGCATCTCATTCGTTGCATTGAGAAATTTGGGTTCGATACCGAGCAATTCGCTCGTAGTCTTCGGGAAAGAGGCCTCGGGAGTGTGCCTAGTAGGTAGACCTGTGCCAACTGACGAGTGTCCACCTGCCGATAACTCTTTCAAAGCCCGATCAATTTCATCCAGGTCTGCTTCGTTTGATTTTGAAGGCGGGGTATTGGCCGGATCGGAGGTTTTGGCTGCCTTCTTCTTCTTTTTCTTCTTGTTGCTCTTTTTGGCCTTTATCGGGGTTGGTTCAGGCTCTGGTGTCTGCGTGCGAGATTCCTCATCTATTTCCTCTTCGTCTTCTTCTTCTTCTTCATCTTCATCTTCTTGATTTTCAGCGTTCAGTAAATCGAAGGCATTGAACTTCGTTTTCGCGGGGCGCGGGGCTTCGTCTTCGCTTGACTCATCTTGCTGCTCGGATTCTCGCTGCTGTTCTTGTTCACGCAGCTTTTGCAGCTTTCGGATTGCTCTTGATGACATCCTATGCACTGAGGCGAAAGCCCTTGAACGAATAAAATATAAGCTGTCTGCGAAAATAGAAGAAAAAAAGAATGCGCCGAAACAAAACCGCGGGGAATGACGACAGAGACTAATCCGGACTAGCGCTATTTTGGATAACCTTCGCACGTGACTTCATCTCGAGGAGCTGGACCTCCTTGACAAGCTTGAAACCTCATCTACATACTATCTCAGAGCTGTTATCTGCCTTGCAGAAGGCACAGAAGTTTATCAGCTGTCATATTTACTGCTGGTCCAATGCGTCGGGCGACTATTCAGGCCTGCCGTACTGCTCGGCGTGCACCAGTATGGAACATTGCCGCTAAACGGCCGTGCCCTTTGACCATCAACCAGCTGCGAGGTATTCGGCCATATTCTGGCGGCAGACCCTCATCCTATACTCCGGTAGCTCCACAATCATCTATGCATCGCCGCAAACTCTCCTTCGCCGTTATCTCGACCGTCGTTGCCTCGGGGGCATGGTATGCTTATCAGGGTGATACCGTTAAGTCGGCAGCAACCCAGGTCCGGGGTTTCGCATCGAGCGCCCTCAACTCCGCCTACGCAGAAAGCCCTGCCGAGTCCACGCGACGTGCGTTGATGGTCAGCGGCGATCAATTCTACACCGCGACGCTCTCCGGAGACCAACCTATTGCCAAGAGTACAGACGAATCAGGTCGCCAAGTCCTAGAGATGTTGACTCCCGAACAAGCGACCCAGAAGCTTCGTAAGAACGAGGAGTCATACTTGGTCAACCGGGGCAAGGGTGTCGTTCGTTATGATGTGGTTCAGGTTGCCAGCAATTCACCCATTGAGGATGACCATGCGGAGAAGATAGTGGAGATTCCCGCATCCGTGGCTACTGTCAGCAACGGCGAGCCGAGCAGTGACTGGATGTTCTGGGGAGTTTTCGACGGTCACTCGTACGTTGTGCTAAGGTTGAATACTTATCAAGCAAATACTAACTACAAATCAGGGGCTGGACAACATCCGCCAAACTGCGCAATGTTTTGATCTCATACGTGGCCCGTGAATTGAATACAACTTACAAAGCTGCCTCCGCTGATCCATCTCTCCTTGTGCCAACATCCGAGGCTATTGATGCCGCCATCAAGCAGGGTTTCGTCCGCCTCGACAATGACATCGTACACGAGAGTTTCAAGGAAGTCATGAAGTCTAAATCACGACGAGTTGCCGCCGAGCTCCTTGCTCCTGCTCTCTCAGGCTCATGTGCTCTTCTCAGCTTCTATGACTCCCAGTCCAAGGACCTCAAGGTTGCTGTTACAGGAGATTCTCGCGCAGTTCTGGGCCGTCGCGGCCCTAGCGGGAAATGGACTGCTACTGCCCTTTCCGAGGACCAGACTGGTGGCACCCCATCTGAAATGAAACGTCTGCGTGAGGAGCACCCCGGCGAGCCGTATGTCACCAAGAACGGCCGAATCCTCGGCCAGCTTGAACCCAGCCGTGCGTTCGGTGACGCTTTCTACAAGTGGAGCCGGGACGTCCAAGATACGATCAAAGCGAAGTTCTTTGGGCGTACTCCCCATCCTATGCTGAAGACGCCCCCTTATGTCACCGCCGAGCCTATCATTACTACCACCAAGATTGATCCCTCCAAGGGCGACTTTGTTGTCATGGCTACTGATGGTCTGTGGGAGATGCTGAGCAATGAAGAAGTCGTCGGCCTGGTTGGTCAATGGGTTGAGCAACAACAATCTGCTACTGCTGGCGCAGGAAGCAAGGCTTGGTTACAGAGCTGGTTTGGGTTCGATAGTCAGAAGAAACTGCCCGTGGAATCCGCAACCGACGGATCGACGGAAGGCCAACGGCGTCCCATCCGCCAGCAGCAATATGATATCTCTGGCGCGGCCACTCGATTTGTTGTTGAGGACAAGAACGCAGCAACACATCTTGTGCGGAACGCAATGGGCGGAAAGGACAAGGATATGGTGTGTGCGTTGTTGACGCTACCCAGTCCTTACTCTCGCCGATACCGGTATGAAAATTCTTTACATGACATTACTTTCTCCTTAACGGTTTGGCTAATCTTTCTTAGTGACGATGTTACTGTTGAGGTCATCTTCTTCGGTCAGGGCCCTGATTCGCGCACTGTGGAAGTCAACCAGGAAGCTAGTGCCTCAGAACAGCCTCCCAAGTCAAAGCTTTAGGCTTTCGCTTTGTCTTTTTTATTCGTGACATTTCCAAAGCATTTTGAAGGGTGGCGTGTTTTTTGATATGTTTTGCAATCTACTTTCTCCAGCGGGTTGTCGCTACTGGATCTATGGCAAGGCCAAGACAAGATACTAGGGAACAGTTCCTCCAATCTTGCAAATTATTATTGTTTGTCCGATGCATAATGCGTATTTGCAATGTCCGTTCTTACACATAGAAAGTTCTCTGTATGTTGTATGCTTTTTACGGGTTTTGTATATTGTACATAGTAGAGTGATAATCCCGGCATGTTTACCCATTCCTAGCTGTACTTCTACAGCTGATTATGATTATGCTAGAAGAATATATGGAAGATATGACAACTCAAGCCGAAGAAATAGTAGTTGGCAAATATGCTCTTGCTAGGAACCGCATACGCGGCCGACTATTCTTGTGAGAAGTGAAGAATATTGTACATGAATGCGCAAGGAAAATGAGGCCACAGGATGAGTCTCGAAACCAGTCGATGAACTATATGCATCCTGGACTGTCATTTCGCGGCGAGTTGGATCAACTGCCCCTATCCGAGCCGGCTCATAAAGCTTGTGCCAGTCACCCAGAGGCCAGAGGCCAGGGGCTAATCAAGTCTGACATACTGTCAAATTTCGGGCTTCATCCTGATGGAGGTCCGAAATTCATTTAGAGCCAGCGCGTGGATAGTTCGCGACTCTATAATGGAGTATGGCCGAGCAAACCGCCATCGATTGAATTGGAAAGAGCCCGTGTCATCTTAAATTAAACGTTTCCCATGGATGGAATCAGCGCAAATTTTTCAACTGGAAAGGGTCCTTGTCACCCGGCTTCTCGAAGGCGATGGATTTCTGAATGAAGCGTTGGAATGTCACTGGTGAAAACACCTTATTGTCCAGTATCCAAGTCTGCAGCGTAGCAACATTGGTACTGGTGATCCAGTAGAGCATAAGCGCAGCTGGCATCTCTTGAGTCCAGCTCGCGAAGCCAATATAGCATGTCAAAACCACGACAAAGGTCCGCAACCCGGTGAAAGTGATCTGCTTATACATCTCAGTCGTTGGAAGGTACTGCATGTTCTTCCAGGGCTGGACTTTCCATCCAGTCAGAACGTTCCCCAGAATCGACGCAGTCAGAAAAAGTGGCAGCACGCCTGTCGGGTCACCGGCCAGTAAATCCGGAAACCAGAGGGCGCCCTCATTCGCAAGAGTGGGCTCCACGGTTAAATGCAGAGATTGGGCTGCGGAGGCAGGGTCTTGCGACTCGATGAACGACGACAGCCAGGCAATGATGCCGCTATTCATGCCACTCATCCCGCGCAGACTCTCCATGAGCGCAATGAAAACAGGTATCTGCAGAAATACAATTGCTTTGTGTTTGCCAGACACTCCCCAACGCTTATGAAGCTCAGCTGTTCGTTTGTTTATATCAAGCGCGGCCTTTTTCTTTATTTGAGGGATTGTTAAATCTTTGACGATCGACCTCTTGTGCTCAGACATATGTTTCTCTGTATATCTCTTCGACCACGCGCTTAGAATTGGCGATATCTTTTTTTCGCGTTGGCGATGGAGTCGAGTATATAACAGGATGGGTAAACCGACAAACGTACGAACAAGTACGGCCGTCAGAGGAATTGAGGCAACCCATGGTAGACACGAGACATTGTGGACGCCGTGAATAAATGCGGCAGAGCCGTCCAGTGCAAGGTCGATGATGGCGGATGAGGCTGGTCTTGTTGGGTGGAAATGTCGAACTTGCGAGCGAGGCAATTGTAGAGCTCGCGTTAAATGCAGAGCATGTGCCGAGCGGAGGGCATACATCACTCCTGGCAGGGTGAGAGAGATCGAAAATAAATGTAGCTAGAAAAAGCGAGACTATAGGAGTCGCGGAACGGAAATCGGATGTTTGGAAAATTATCATGTGACACGTATGAAAGTCACTTCATTGGCCCGATTGATCAACTTGTTGACAGCAAGAGAGGGGGAGCATTTTCTGACTTATTATCCAGTTTGACTTCAAATTCTTTTACTATGTGTGCTTTCTGATGAGGTCTCTTTAATCATTGCCTTTTCACCATGGCCCTCTTATCAAACGCCATTCTGGCCATTCTAGTCCTCACCGCCACGGCTGTCCTGCTTCCGAAGCTAACAGGCGTTCTCCTCGGTCTAGTGTTTCGGGGAGTGGGCTGGCTGATATGGCGACGAACGCGGTCTCGCCGGGAATATGTGATCGCGCGGGCGCGATCTGAAGAGGAGGAGTTACGCGCCTCACGGCCGAAGGGTACAACATCACCATCGCGGAATGGTGCCGAAGATGAGGATTGGGAGAAGGTGGATAGTTCAGGCCCAGGCGGGGTACAGAAATCGACAGGCAATGAAACCAGTGGAGGTACTGGCCAGGAAAGCAACCAGAGTTCAGAAGACTGGGATGGGATTATCGGGTTCTTCCACCCATTCTGGTATGGCATTCTCTATACATATCGAAACGCACAACGCTGACTAGGTGCTATAGCAATGCCGGCGGAGGTGGCGAACGAGTCTTATGGGAAGCAGTACGGGCAACACAGAAGCGCTGGCCGAAGGCAATCTGCGCTATCTACACAGGTGATCATGAAGTCAATAAAGCCACGATGCTGGAGAGAGTGGAGAACCGGTTCAATATCCACCTACATACGCCAACCGTGGTGCTCCTATACTTGACGACCCGCAAGTACGTTGTTAGTAGCTCATACCCTTACATGACGCTGCTGGGACAGTCGCTGGGGTCACTGGTCGTTGCCTATGACGCTTTTACGCTGCTTGTACCGGATGTTTTCGTTGACACTATGGGCTATGCCTTCACGCTTGCTCTATGCAAATGGCTTTTCCCGACAGTGCCAGTTGGCGCCTATGTTCATTACCCGACCATATCAACTGACATGCTCGCCTCTCTTGACGACAAGAGCGGGGTGCAAGGGATCAATTCTGGCGCAGGGAAAGGGTGGAAAGGGAAAATCAAGCGTCGGTACTGGGAGCTGTTTGCCAAACTGTATGGCTGGGTCGGTCGACAGGTCGATGTAGTTATGTGCAACTCGTCCTGGACGGCAGCACACATTCGCACGCTCTGGGGTACCGGCAAGAAAACCAGCAACAGCAGCGGCGACGGGACCGCATCATCGCCGGCGGTGGTGTTCCCCCCAACAGCAGTCACCGAACTACAATCAAGTATTGCCGTTGATATGGAGAGCGAGAAGACTCGCCAGCCCGTCCTACTTTACATCGCTCAATTCCGGCCAGAGAAGAACCACCCACTAGTCTTGCGCTCCTTTGCGCGATTCTTACAAGAACGAACAAAAAATCCAGCCTACGAAGGTCAACCCCCTCCACGTCTTGTGCTCATTGGATCCGTGCGCCATGCCAGTCCTGATGAAACCCACATCTACAATCTGCGCCTCCTGGCACATGAACTCCGCATCCGCGACCATACCACATTCTTGTGCGACGCCAGCTGGCCTGCCATGCTGTCCCATCTCAGTACCGCCTCGGTTGGCGTCAATGCCATGTGGAACGAGCACTTCGGTATTTGTGTCGTGGAGTACCAAGCCGCTGGTCTCATCTGTGTGACACATGACTCGGGCGGTCCACGTGAAGACATTGTCGTTGATTTAGGCGATGGTGCAACTGGATTCCGAGCTGAGACAGAAGAGCAGTTTGCTGCTTCTTTCGAGGCTGCCCTTGCTCTTCCGGAGGCAGAGAAACTTGCCATGCGGCAGCGGGCTCGTCGCTCGGCTCAACGGTTTACCGCAGAGGAGTTCTCCCGCAAGTGGCTGGATCAATTACAAAAGCTTGTTAAGGCGTCGAAGGTTTAACTTTGTGATATCCCCCCTGGAAATAGACGAATGGCAGTTTTATCTACTTGTAGTAGTTTGCCGAAAAAAAGAAGTCAATTCTATGATAACAGCTCTTGAAAGGCTGTACTTAATTCGTAGTAATCGTAAAATAGAAATAGAAGATGTGGCCAAGACTCATGCATGAAAACAAACATCTCAACTAGAGCATCTCAAGCCTTCTAACCAGAAACAGAGAATGCCTGCAATACAACGGATGACAATGCGAACGCCCTAACGTTCCCCTTTAATCGCTATCACTGGCCTCTCCACCATCCGAGTCAGCCCCATCACCGGTATTTTGAATACCTTCAGCCATGATATACTCGGTTTGCTGAAGGGTCTTCTTAATCTCATTATTGTTGAAGACCAGCTCAGCAGGCTTCTGACCATGCTTATTCCGCACTCGGGGATCACAGCCAGCCTCACACATCATCTTGATCATGGCCTCACCCAATTCTGCGTCTTTTTCATTGGCGTACCGCACTGCGATGTGCAACGGTGTGTCCTTGTCCAGCCGGGTCAACGGGTCGCATTCAAAGAATTGGATATCAAACAACGCATCCATGGTGTCATCTAATAACCAAAAAAAGGGTTAGCATCTATGAAAGATGGGCATTGAGGAAGTGGTAAAGTAAACACGTACAGCTGCCGTACTGAGCACAGATGTGCAATGCGTGGTTCCCCATAGAGTCTGTCACCTCATTGAAGAATTGTGCCACTTGCTCATTTGACTTCTCTTCCATATCATTCAGCACTTGCTCAATTAGGTGGGGTTGGTCCCGGCGGCAGGCCTCCACGACCAGCTCGCGGGGTGATGCGCCCTAAATCATAGCGGCATTAGCGTTGGTTTTCAGCAAGGGTCTGGTGAGGAGTATTTACCTCGTCAGCCATTTCCGTGTATGGGTTCACAAAGTCCGGAATATCCGAGAGTAAAGTCGATAGTACAGGAATTGGTGCTCGGCTGTAATAGGACGCGAGGAGCTAGTTGTAACAAGAGCCAGGTGTTTTGTATGGTATTTTGGTGATCAGAATGAATCTTCCACAAAGAAATGAAGTGGAATATGTATGTACAAGCTGGACTGTGGGATCAAACAGGCATTCAAGTTCCTGGGAAATACTACAGGTTATTGGAGTTGTTCCCCAGGGACAGCCCACGCGCGGGCCGCCCGGATATACAATATTCCGGATGCCGTTTGGATTTAGCCGCGCGCCTAGATCTCTTATCATCGACGGTGATGTTCTGCACCTGATAGACTCCAAGTTATACAGCTGCTGAGAACCTAAATTTCTCCTCATATAGCTATCTGACACTTTCTTCACCTTACCCACTGCCTCCTTCAGCCAGATCATCAAGATGCTAGTCTGTATGTGCTATCTCCGAGTTAGCGGTGTCCAGCGATAGTCCAGAACAGAAACTGACTCCTCTCCCCAGTCTGTCCTAATTGCAGCAATGCGCTCACCATTTCCAAAGCGGACTCAAGTACAAGATTCCCTGCAGGTGTGAACCGCTTCGAATGCCGCGTCTGTCCCTATGAAGCTCCGCTGGACAAGAACTATTTCGAGAAGAAAGATATGAAGCAAAAGGAAGTGGACGATGTATTTGGTGGCAAGGAGGAGTTTGCCAATGCTGACAGTGTTGGAAGTAAGTTCTTTCTGTCATCTTCGCTCAGAAGTGACATGTCCATCGAATTATACAGAGCTGACATACTCTCTTTTTTTTACACTTGCAGCTCAATGCCCCGCCGAAAGCTGCAATGGGGAACGTGCGTACTTCTTCCAGCTGCAGATTCGCAGTGCAGATGAACCGATGACTACATTCTTAAAGGTATGTTTCCCTCCTTACGTTCAACGTGAGGTACCCGTGTCTGACAGCTTTAGTGTACCTCGTGTGGTGCTCGGTGGAGAGAAAATTAGAGTTGGGCTACAAGGCTGGGAACCAGTCACTTGGATTTCTTTTTTTCCTTTTATTTTTATTATAGCGAGGTGCAAATGGCGCATTTACCAAGTATTTTGGAGGGGCGTTGGATGTAGCTCAAAACTATCAAGTTGATATACCCAAATTGATCGACGTCACATTCCAGTGCACAGATTATTTTATAAGCGGAAACTTTTTTTTTTTTTTTTGGAACATGGATCTAGCTTTTTGTTTTTTTATATCATATTATTGTGGCTTTGGTCATTTCTACTACTTTTACCTAAAAATACAATTGGCCTAGTACAGATGTAGACCCCGACATTTCTGCCTAGGAATCATCCGTATGGATCATCGTCTAAAAAGAAAGGGAAAAAAATATTCTATAGACATGCATGACATTGTTGGTGGGATGATTTGGCGGTGAGAATGTTGCCCCTCACCCGCGGGGCTCTGAGAGGCAAAAGAGAAGAGAAAAAAAAAAAAAGTGAAAAAATGGATTGACACACCCAATCGCCACAGTAGGCAAAGAAAAACCGAAAATGCGCAAAGTAAACAATGCAAACTAGAAGATTCTCACCCAACCACTCTGCGTTGCTGCCCAGTTCAAGCGTTTAGAGCCACAGAGTGGGCTGGGACGGAGCCGATGAAAAAAAAAATTCGCACCCAGTGGAGTGCCGTGGCAGGACAAAACCAGGGAAACGGAGGGGTGTTTCAAGCATAGAAGTAGAGAGTACATGGTAAAGTATGATAATAGACATATTGTAAGAAGTACCTGTACATCATCCCGCCAACCCACTTTGCAAAATCTGCGTCCACGGGTAAGGGCTATAACCAATCAGAAGCCCTAACCAAAGAGGGCTTGGCCCCACCTGCTGACTCGCCTCGCTCGCTTGCCCCTCCATATAAGGATTTCCCCTCCTCCCCCCTCCCACAGACTTTTCTTTCTTCCTCTCGTCTGCTACAGTGAGTATTTCCTGACCCCCTACTGCTTTTAAGCTATCCCTCCTCCGACTATTTACTGATTTCATTTGCTCAGTACCTCTACGCGTTCTGCCGTAGTCTCTGAGCAATTTTTCCACAGATTTTTTCTAGTCTCTTACAAAGAACTACAAAAAGTTCCAACCGTCATCATGGGGTATGTGACTACGAAAAACCACAATTCAGAACTGAGACTGACTTCAAAACAGTAAGGAAGAGCGTAACCACATCAACATCGTCGTTATCGGCCATGTCGATTCCGGCAAGTCCACCACCACTGGTCACATGATCTACAAGTGTGGTGGTATTGACCAGCGTACCATCGAGAAGTTCGAGAAGGAGGCTGCTGAGCTCGGAAAGGGTTCTTTCAAGTACGCCTGGGTTCTTGACAAACTCAAGGCTGAGCGTGAGCGTGGTATCACCATCGATATTGCCCTCTGGAAGTTCCAGACCGCTAAGTACGAGGTCACCGTCATCGGTAAGCGACTTTCCCAATTCACTCTGCTGGTTGCACATATATTAATTTCTATATTACAGATGCCCCCGGTCACCGTGATTTCATCAAGAACATGATCACTGGTACCTCCCAGGCCGATTGCGCTATTCTCATCATCGCCTCCGGCACTGGTGAGTTCGAGGCTGGTATCTCCAAGGATGGCCAGACCCGTGAGCACGCTCTGCTTGCCTTCACCCTCGGTGTTAAGCAGCTCATCGTTGCCCTCAACAAGATGGACACCTGCAAGTGGTCCGAGGATCGTTACAACGAGATTGTCAAGGAGACCTCCAACTTCATCAAGAAGGTCGGCTACAACCCCAAGTCCGTTCCCTTCGTCCCCATCTCCGGATTCAACGGCGACAACATGCTCGAGGTTTCCACCAACTGCCCCTGGTACAAGGGTTGGGAGAAGGAGACCAAGGCTGGCAAGTCCACCGGAAAGACCCTTCTCGAGGCCATTGACGCCATTGAGAACCCCGTCCGTCCCTCCAACAAGCCCCTCCGTCTTCCCCTCCAGGATGTGTACAAGATCTCCGGTATTGGCACAGTTCCCGTCGGTCGTGTCGAGACTGGTATCATTACCCCCGGCATGATCGTCACCTTCGCCCCCGCCAACGTCACCACTGAAGTTAAGTCCGTTGAGATGCACCACCAGCAGCTCAAGGCCGGTAACCCCGGTGACAACGTCGGCTTCAACGTCAAGAACGTTTCCGTCAAGGAGGTTCGCCGCGGTAACGTCGCTTCCGACTCCAAGAACGACCCCGCTGCCGGCTGTGACTCCTTCAACGCTCAGGTCATTGTCCTGAACCACCCCGGTCAGGTCGGTGCTGGTTACGCCCCAGTTCTCGATTGCCACACTGCCCACATTGCCTGCAAGTTCGCCGAGCTCCTCGAGAAGATCGATCGCCGTACCGGTAAGGCCACTGAGACCTCCCCCAAGTTCATCAAGTCCGGTGATGCCGCTATCGTCAAGATGGTTCCCTCCAAGCCCATGTGTGTTGAGGCCTTCACCGACTACCCCCTCTCGGTCGTTTCGCCGTCCGTGATATGCGCCAGACCGTTGCCGTCGGTGTCATCAAGTCCGTTGAGAAGAACGCTGGTGGCGCTGGTAAGGTCACTAAGGCCGCTGCCAAGGCCGGTAAGAAATAAATGATTCTCGGATGATTCTCATTATGCCGTGATGATTTTTTCTTTTCAAAAACAATTACTGGATGGAAGGTAGATTTGCTGGTTAGTTGCTCAAAATGACTACCCACATTTTTATGACTCGAAAAGTCGTTTTATTCTCTTTTTCCTCGTAAACTTGTAACGTAGACAATGATCTCTAGAATAGTTGATCAACCCTTGATAATCCTGTCCCACCATGGATTTTTGATTTCGAGTTCCGTGTGTGGTGTGCCTGAGGTTGGTGACTCCCGAGTCCTGTGATTGGCACGTACACAGTACACCCTTGTACTATGTACTCTCTGTCATCTGTTAAGACTGTAAACAATAATTGTTCCTAAGTCACATCTCGTTCAGCCTTCTACTACCCATATATGTAATCCATTATCTGATTTCAACTTCCTATTCCCATCTTTGTAACCTCATTTGTCAAGAGATATCAATGACTAGCACCATCTTCAATCTAGAACCTAACTGTATATCAGTTCCGTCCTGATTCGATTAAAGCACTATTTTAGACTTGCCTCTACAGACTCGACCCTTTAATCGCCAACAAGATCACCCGGAAGCATTAATCTTTTCGTTTGGGTAGTACCTGCAATGTTCAGGATATATATGCGTGTCTAACGAGGAGAAAATCCAATGAACAAACACCGATTCAACCCATTATTATTGAAGTGAACAACATTTAGAGCCCAAGGCGTTATACTACGAGGTCTTAGATACATATATATCCACGCCGGTCTCGATTTCCATCTCAACCTCAACTTAGGTCCATTCCCGAATCGAGCCCAATTCGATCATATGAACTTGCGCCGGAACTCTCATTGAGCTGGCTGTTATTATAATGACTGGGGAGGTAGTCGTGGTCGAGTAGGTAGTTGTTGGACATCGATGTAGTGGTGGGGGTTGTTTAGAAAAGCTGGTGGTTGTACTTGTGTTCGACAAAATGGTAGTCGAAATATCACACGAGGTAGCGGTTCGTCGTCTAAGTTGTGGTTGCCCCAGTGCTTGTGTAGTCACTGAACATCCCAGCCATCTTGGCTGTGGTCGAATGAATATGTGCTTCACTTCCAAGGCTGATTAATCGTATAGGTTCCCCGGGCCATCGTAAGAGTGGCTCCGTGATCAGCACTATTAACCTACATAGGTATAGGGTACTTTCCAACGAACAAAACGATGGTGTTTCGCCTGGGAATGACGTTAGAAAAGCTGAGTTAAAAGTTGGCTTCCTTACATATCCGCATCTTATACTATTAAACACGGGTAAACTGTTCTATCAATCATGAATTCAAACCCCGACCTTTCCCTACCTTCCCACTCCCCGGAGCTTGGAGATTTCGGCGATAAAAACCTATATTCCGCAACCTTCGCCTTATACACACCCTGGTTGATATCTCTACCAGTGAGCTTGAGACCATTGCCTCTTTACTTGAAAAGAAGTGGATGGAAAAATAGGGCAATGAAGGACCACATCTCGTCCGCCTAGCACCTTCGAACAACTTTGCGGGGAAGAGCCTCAATGACATTGTCATAACACATATCCAGATGGACAAGGAAGAGACACACCGTGATGATGAAGGGGCAAGTGGAGACCTGAGCTGGTACCCTTCTGTCTTTCTAGCTGTTACGAGCAACGAATGGAAGAAACATGGGATATTGTTTGTATATGCGGATACTGAACAGACGGGTTTCCCTATGGACAAGTTTTTCTTCTTTCCAAAGGACGGGTATATGATGCTTTCTAGTATCATGTTTGGTGATGAAGAATGTGCTCGATGTAAGGATGAATTCGCCATTAAGCATGATGGGCCCTGCTCTTGACTGCTCAGAACCGAGTACTCCAGGGCTACCTACATTGTACCTTGGATATTCTCGGCGGCTGTTATAGCTAAAGAGATTGATAGCATGTGAAGTCGTTGATATGCCACAGTAGATCTATAAAAGTTAATTGCAAGCTTGGAATCTTAATTGCAGCGATGATCTTTTAGAATTCTACATCTATTTGTCTCCAGGCTAGATAGTACTTTCAAAAATCCAATAGCTATGGGCCGCTTAGTGATTATAATGAGATACCGTTTGCTACATAGCTAATGTATTCCATTCTCTCAATGACTTCATCATAAGACTACGCCCAGCTAGAATGAAATGACAAGCTAGAATGTCCGTGTTCCATATTTGACTCAACCCCAAGCTAAGCGCAGAGCACTTCCACAGGATTGACCCCAATCAAGGACCTATCTCAGCATTCACGGACTTAGACACCTTCAAGAGTCTACAATGCGTTATATTCTACATTTTCAAGCTATAGATCAAAGCCTAAAAAGGCGAATATTGGTCAAATGTACTTGAATGACCTATCGTATCCTGGGTATCAAGTTGCAGATACCTACATGTAGTATGTATCCCTATGTTCTCACGGCGTACCAACCAAACATAAATCAATCACTCTTCCTCATATTCTTCAGAGCTAGCATCTTCCTCCTCATCTTCTTGATGAGGACCACGCCTCGAACGTATAGGCCCCGAGCTCCGCGGCGCCTCACGTCCCTCTCCGTTCTCATTAACTTGAGCATTCCCATCCACATCGCTAGCACCATCCACCCCACTAGCTCGTACCGCCGCCGGATCAATCCCAAGACTCCTCCCAAGTTTCGCTTCAAAGTCCTCGAGATCTTCCCTCTGGAGTTGAGTCAAGTTCTCATGGTCACCCTGATCCTTCCCATAAACAATTCGCACAAGACCAGCCACACCACCAGTCCCAACCTCAATTTTACCCCGCGGTCCGAGGACATACTCGACAACCTCCTCGCCGCCATCCATCTCTCGCGTCTTGATAATGTACCCCTCCTTGCATAGCCGCTGCAGCAGTTTATCCGTGCGGTCGACCGGTGTAGCAACCTCGGCATTTGTGCGCGCTAGGTACCGGTCAAGTTTCTGCTCAGCAAGTGTGCCGCCGTTCAGCACAATCAACGCTATGATAAAGCTGTACAGACCCGTGTATGTGCTTTCAGTGTAGAGGGAGGGTGCCTTGGTTGGAATGAGTATTTCTGGGGAACGGTATGGGAGCGGCAAGGTGCTAGTAACGATCCAGGACTTATTAGCCGAGGATGGCTTTTCTGTTTTCTGTGCGGCTGGTGTATATGATGTCAGTAGTGATTACTTAGGCATAGCGTGAATCTGCAACAAAGAAAAGCAAGACGGGATCCAACTCACCTCGTCGTTGGGTAATGGTGACTTTTTCTCGCGCCGGTAACTCGGTCATCTCCATACCAAAGCGCTGCTTCATTATTTGCTGCGCCTGTTCGAAGACTGACTTGAACTGCCGTGAGCCCTGCTCGCCCAGCACCTTGGCGCTGATATCGTTGCGTCGGATCGGAAGTCGGGAGTACTCGCTTGCTATGGCCAGCCGCACCATTTTCTTGACCATTGCATCGGTGCTAGTAGGTGCGCTTGGTCCGTCATCTTCGCTGTTTGTTGCGGATGAGTCGGGTTCTTCGCTTTGTATTCTGCGCCGACGCGCGCTTGGGGTTGACTCGACCTCGGATGCGTTGGTCTGGGGATGAAGGTTAGTTGGTGGATAGCCCGAGTGGATTTGAGGTTGCATGCCCGTCTTTTGCGATTTGATGGCATTTTTATTATGTGTGTATGGTGGCGAGTTGCAGATGGGTTTGGGAAGACGCGACGCGATAGAACGATTTTACCCCATCGGGGTTGGTCTGTGCGTGGTCCTTATCAATGGTTCTTTGTTCCAGCAAATGCGTTTTGAGGCCAGTCTTCTTATTTTAGGGGTTTTTTCGAGGACTGTCTTTGATGGTTTATTGAAGAAAGAACACACTTTGCAATATTTCCAGACATGGAGGGTTATGTGTTTATTAAATCCAGTAAATTGGGGTTGAGTTACCACATACATCGATAGACCTGGGAAAGCGGACTAAATACAACGGGGGCCAACGCAACACACAAAGAGTAGCGATAAGGTATTATTTTCTCTAAAAAAACAATAGAAAAACAAAAAAGAACGCTCCAAAAGCTCAAAGAGATCTAAAATCAGTTGCTGTTCTTCTCATTGACAACTTCCTTCGCTTCCTCCTTCTTAGACTGGAGGAAAGCGCTGGCCCAAGCCAACGATTCCTGCGACAGAACCAAACTGGTAGTGACAACAGCCTTGCCCGAAGCAAAGACACCATCGCCACCGCACTTTTTGTACTCAGAGCCATAGATATCGAAGACATGGTGCTTAACATCACCGGCGACGCGGACGGGTAGGGCGGCACTGTTGTAGATGGAGCCGCGCAGCTTCTGGGTGTCCTCCTTGATGATAGGGAAGCGGGTGTCGATCTGGGTCAGACCCTTGTCACCGAGGGAGTCGGCGCGGGCGAGGTAGGGAGCGACATAGCTGTAGGGAGTGGAGAAGTAGGGTAGAACGGGTTTGGCGAGACGGGTGTAGCCCTGGTCAGCGAATTCGAGGGACTTGGCTCCGTAGGGGTTGCCCTTGTAGTAGGAGATGGAGTCAGAGACGATGGGGTAGGAAGTAAGATGCTAAATTAGGGAATATTTAGTTAGTATGGGCTAATACTAGCTCTAGTTCCCGTTTTTGATGTTGGGCTGTAGTGGGGGTGTACATACATCGAGGAACTGAGAGTAGTGCTTCTCGCCGTTGACAACCGGTTCACCCATTTTGTTTTCTGCGTGGGGCATGAAGATAGTAATATGAGTATGAAGTATAATAAGAATTCAGAAGAGAAAAAAAAAGAGAGAGAGAGAGGAATAGATTGGGTTGTATAGAAAAATAGGATTTTCACATGTGATTGCGCTGTCATTATGCAATGGGTCCTACCGCAATCGCATCATTGCAATACATCGTAACGGAGTATTCTCGGCTGGTTATTTTGATTGGTTATTTTAGCTCTCTGCTTTGGATACTTTTGTTTCTTTTTTACTGTCTTTTCTTTTGGAAAAAGGGTTCAGAAGCCTCAATACGCCCACGCCAATGCGCCATTGACTTTGCACTATGCACTGCAAACGTCAGAGCAATTGAATTTCTATGGCTAATTATAGCTACAAATCTAGGTATGAAATATATTCTATTCTATACCAAATATACATTGAATTGCAAAAATTTTGGAAAAATACCACATGCAATCATAAGTGAATTTGTGATAAGCTGCTTTCGCATGTGATTGCGGGTCTGATGCGAAAACGCCGTGTGGTTCCACTATGATCTTCTATCACATCTATTCTCTTATAGAGCTTCCAAAATTGTCATTTCATATTTCCAAGCTTCTTCCAAGGATTCAATATCCCCCATAATCCATTTCAAATGAGGGATGATTTCGCAAGATAAACCTTGTTTCCACACCCGGGGCCGTTTCCCCGTTTCTCGTTGGACAAACCTGCTTATCTGCACCCTATTATACAACTGCCCAAACAGTGGCCGCAGATGGCTGATCGCCTGCTAGAATATGACTGACGCTTCGGCTTCTAGCTTATGCGAGTCTAGGCCGTCTGCGCGTACATTAGTGATGTACCCACTCATTGGCCTGAGCGTCGGCCACTCGTACTCTCCCCGGGAATACGTAACAGCTTCCGGTGCAAATGTAGGGGCAAACATTGCGCCAGGTCCTGGCCGGATTGAATATCGTTCTCCCGGCCTCGGGCCTGCGACGGGCCAAGGGATTTGTAGATTCATCCGAATCTCGGCGCTTGATGTGACTATGAAACGGCTATAGTACAGTTAGTACTATGGTCGTACTATATCTATTAGTCCGGTCGGCTTATGCGAGAGTCAGAAGATATCTTGGCACTTTGTACACCGTACATATCCAGACCTTGTGCTCCTTGAATCAAGGTTTATAGCCGGCTAAGGAAATACGGGAATGATATTCGGTTCGACTATCAAGGTAAGCCGGTGGGCAGATTTCCCAAACTTGTGGCACATGAAAAACCGAAGATATTCACTAGAGCTAGATCTATCACGAGCATTGAGATTTAAAGTCGGGGCGGCGAGCTTTTGTTTTTTTTTATCCTTTTGTTTTTTTCTTTTTCTCTTTCACCCAGGCGAACCGGATCGCGGCGATCAACTGATAACCCACTCGATTAAGCTACTATGCAGATCCCTGTATATCGTGGGTCTTGACCAGCACGGTTGTCTCAACATCTACAAAGTACGACCCCCTGTTTCCTCCGTTCCTCTGGAAGACCCCTGCCTAGAAACTGTATATCACTGCTCTCGGAGCTGTTAGGATATGCATTATAAAGTTTCGTGGGAAAATCCCTTCCGATCCAGACTGTGGCAAGCACGCCACTCCATTTTTACTTTTGACGCACAATCGAGTCTAGAAATCTTGTGAGAATATTATATCTCAAAGTACTCCGGGTGGCGGACTTGGAATACCTCTCTAGTCGGGAAAGTGGCGTCTCGGTTAGCCTTACAAACATCTAGCGTGGCGGAGGCCCGTGATCCGCTATTGTGAGAGTGCGAAGGTATCCATTTCACATGCGAAACTGAGCTGTCATTTAGCGTTGGCGCTCTCAATATCAAGGGTTCAATTGTGTAGCCTTGGATATTGGGATTGGTTGACTCAGGTGATGATCACATGAAGTGTATATTTTTTTGTGTATATTTGTCAATGTAGTGCCTCTGCAGGGTTTGGTCCAATACTACATTAGGCACACAACAATTGTGATCAACTGTGCCGGGAACTAACGCCCTCGAAGCGCTTTGCCCTTGGCTTGGCAATTGTTAGCCACATCGACCCTGAAGGAAAGTACCACGTCAAGTATGCCAAGGGAATTACTTGTTGGAGGTGATGCCACGCATTAGTTGGTGTATTTTATTGTCGCTTTATTGCCTAGATCGCGCCACCTAGAAGAAACCCCGAGTTTCACATATTCTTGATACTACCATATGATTCATCTTACAGCCAATGGGCCATTGCACAGCTATGCACTCCGGACATAAAAGTTTAGCAAGATTCATTATTCTCAGCATGCGGGATCTCGTTCTTTATTCGCAGCTTCAACATGATAGCGCCAATGTGGCTTTGGCAGTTTCCGTCTCCGCATCTTATGCGGATCCTATCCAACACATGTGGTACTTCAAATATCGGTCCTACTCTTCACGGCTTATTTTTTTGCTCAAACCCTACTATATACTTCTTAGATATCACAATTCTAAGAAATAGTAGCTCAAAAATAGACTGCATTCAAAGTGAATACATGCTTAGGGGAAGGGGGGAAATATACTCTAGGCTAGAAAAATAAGAGAGCACAACATAAACTTTAATAAGTTGCTCATAAAACCTCGGGATAATATCTACCATCCACGATAGTTATTATCCGCCTCTTCAAGAACTGAAGGGGTCTCAAAACTATTAAGGCATCGCAGTGGACTTGTCATACTGCTCATTCTCGCATTTGTGGACATGCCCCACTATCTCAGAAACATACGATCTCGTAGGCGTTGCGGCAAGTTCATCATAGCTGAGGTAGAGCGTGATCGGCGGCGGCGAGCTGGAGGGTTGATATCTTGCTGGGCCCCTTCAGGGAGATGCATGAACTCCCCCAATGGAGCGATATTATTGCGTGCGTGCTCCGGGCCAAGAATGGAAACATCCTCACGGCTGATAGCACCAGGGGGACGGTTTGATAGAGACCTATTCCAAGGCTCAATAGGATCCTCCCTGACAGGAGTGTGGAAAGGCACTTTGAGAATAACGTCAAAGGGACCAACGATGGGCGAGTCCTGCTGGAGAATCAACTTCCAAAGATGCCAGTAGCTCGTGTCAGTCATGTGTCGGCCTGTATTCGCACGAATCCGCCAATAACACAGGAATTCGTTAGTCTTGATTCTCACCTCTGCTACCTGGAAGGGCGGGACCGGAACCTCGTGAAGGAATCTCTCGGGCAGATCGGCTATGCCCTCGAACTCGCTCTGGATCTGCACCCACATTTCCCTGTGGCGTTCTTCGAAGAACTTCGTCCACTGTGGGCTTACGCCGCTGTTAGCTAGTCCTGCAGACATCTCCCAGATGAAATATTCAGCGTTGATCCACTTGTCGACACTGACCCTTACATTTAGACGCGAAGCACTGTCGCGGGACACGTTGCAGCGCATCAGGACACGAGGCTTGGCTCGCACGGCTACCATGGGCATGTTATAGTGGCGATGAACCTCATTGTCCCCCCATTCCTCGCTGGCGTTCTCGCGGATAGACTCTAGGGGAAAGAACATGGTTGCAGAGATAGGATGACTGGTGATGTATTGACTTGTAGTTTTGTGCGTACCTTGTTCGGTGCTTGGATAGTTGAGTAAAATAAGAGCTCAGTGATGATCAGATGGTATGGGTTGAAGCCGATGGAGGTCCATGCAGGTAGTTTATATACTTACTATGGATTGCATCAACTTTTGAATGAAAGGTATAATATAAAGCCACGGAGACCATGATAGAAAGAAGATAATGAAGATAAAGAATGTGTTGCTTTATCTCGAAGAATATATTGAGAACAGCATTCAAAGACCATTGTCCCCTTGTTTACTAGCGAGAGTAGGAGCAGGGTGTGCCAATTGTCCACTGGATCAAATGCGCTCTTTGTCTGGATTGCATGTAGATGAGAACACTGTAGGACCCCAGAGCCTTAAAAGCTGAAATGTCACCAGGATAGCAACACAAGCACCGATGCTGCAAATGCTAGTGTTGGGTATTTTGCAAGCGCTGATGCCCATATGACTGAGGTGTGATATATCTTGGCGGGGGTGGGGTTCACATGTGGTACTTGGACTGGACTGCGGAGGAAGAGAATCTAAAATTGCGCCTTAGAGCATGGATGTGAGGACCTAGACCGACCTTCGGGGACTTTCTCGACATCAAGTTCGAGAAGGCCGAGTCTTCTTTCGAAACGAGAATGACTACTTAGGCAAGGGGACATCTAGCGCTGCCATCTAGGGTAAAAGCAACTTCTTTTTGAGAACTACGGTTGCGCATTACAAATGGGCATGGATACATCAATCGTAGCAACGACACCATGGAATTGAAGGACCTGGGACAAACCACATAGCTACAAGGCCACCCACTGAGCTGGGAATGATCTGTGTTGAGATGACAGACAAAAATTGTTCCCGGCCTATGGGAAAGAGGAAAATGTCGACCATTGCTCAGGTAATAGACAACATTGATTTTGAAATAATTGTTCATTTTCCATTTCATTCAGACGGACACCAGGTGTGGAAGTGGCGTCCCCGTTAAAACTGGAGTTCATCGATACATTCACGAATCTGTTTCCAGCCATGGTGTATGTTTTCCCATCCCATGCTCGCAGGGACCGAATGTGCTCGATGGTTTTTCGACCTCGCCTTCACCTAGACCCGTGCGCTCAAAACGACAAAACGCCCAAGTAAACCGTTTAGAAACCTGTTCTGGAGTATTAGTGTCAAGTTCCAAAGTGAATATATATGTATATCGTAGGCCAAACGTACGCAGGGCAGTGAAGAACCAACGGTTCTTGCCGCTGGTGTAACGGTCCTCAAGGGCCTTCTTGATGGTCTTCTTGGCGTCCTCGCGCTGGGAGACCTCCTTGAAGGTGTCGTTGGTGACGGTACCCTTAAGACCCTCGAGCTCGAGAGTGTAACGGGTGGGCATCAAGTGGTTGTAGTTGACGACCTTGATGAAAGGCTTGATGCGGCTGCGGCGGTCGACGAGCTTCTTGCCCATACCACGGGTAACCTTGAGGGGGTAACGCTCGATACCGGCGACAATGGCGTAGGAGAAGGGGTGCGACTTGGAGCCAGCATCAACGGGCTGGACAATGACGACCTGTAAAGTCGAAGAAAAATGCCTGATTAGCACTCCGAATTTTTTTCAAATTGTTGCGCAGTCCTCCATATTGCGTTGTGCTCTTTCAAATCTCGAGTCTTTCGATTCCAGTTCGCCTCTTTCCATTCTGCTCGTGCTCAATTCGGGGAGGATCAGGATCTTGTCGTACCTTCTTACCGGCGTAGCGGCCACGGGTGATGATGGCCACACGGCCCACTTTCATGACTGTAACATATCCGTCAGCATATAGATCGCAAGGGAAGTCGAATGGTGAAGACGTACACTTCATTTTGAAGGTCCCGGGGGCGGCGAGGATGGGTGGTTGTCGAGATACGGAACGGTCAAGATCGAAGTGTTCGTTTTTGCGGATGTGAGGTAGAGGGTTTCAGGGCACAGTAGCGATTTGTGTGCTGTGGATTGATTGGTCGACTTACCGACAGATGGCGACTAATCTCCTTTCGGATAGTTTCCCCATCGGGCCCGGATCAAGTGATGACATAATCGACGTGTCGGCCCAGCCCCTTCGAACCTTGGAAGTTGGTGCCCAGCGTTGCTTACCGCCTTGTTGCTGCTGACTCAGGTTTTGTTTACATGACGATCGTAGTTGCCCCGGTTGCTATGGCCGTGAGTGATGTGTACAAGGCCGTAGTACCTCTCTCTCTCCAGACAGTTCTCATTCTCCACTTGCTTTCCTCTTATCAAGCTGATCTCCCGGTGATTTTCTCTCCTCCACCGAGTTCTGAGATTGTTAGCTTTTGCTTTGTTCTTCCAGCGTTTCCTCCCTTGTGTTGATATGCCTTGATGACCTTGCTTCTGTTTTTACTTTGAACGCATTCTACACATACCCTACATACATTCCATCGATATTGTCAATACCTCTCTGAGACATCTTGACAATCCATTCACGAAGACATCATGCCGTCCCCAGACAAGGACACCCCCCGTGACCGGGAATTGGTCCGGCATTCAATGACATACTCCGAGTCTAAAGTTCCAATGTAGGTTGTGCAACTAACGCCTCCGGATTCTTCTTATGACGGTCCTCATGGGTGATTTCAAACAAATGCTAAAACGTGGCCTACGCAGGTGGGACAGTTCGGATCCCGAGCGTGCGCCTCCGCCGCTACCAATGAATCCTCGTTCGATGAGCCCAATGAGCCCTGCGACGAGGTCCAATGTTTCCCCCAACATTCAGGCAGTGGCCGCAAAATTTACAGAGAGACCCAGCGAACATGCGCCGAGCTCTTACACAACAAATCCCATGCCACTCAAGTCTTCCTCTCCAGAGAGGTCGTTGGTCAAAGGCCAGCACCACAAGCGCATGCAGTCACTACAGCCTGAAGATACCCGACAAGATGCGCGCAGCGACTTTATGAATTACCTCGAGAACAGATCCCCAGAGCGCCCTCTTCGTGCAACGATCATTGAGGCGGCCAAGCCACGCGATCCTACCAAGTCTATCAGTTCGCCAGCGCTCCGTCAAGACGCGGACCGGGAGATGAGCTACTCCCTGTCGAGTCGGTACTTATCAAAGCCAATACTGGGAGAAAGTACTCCGCCATCAGCTACAATGTTAGCCCTGCAAAACATGCAGCTACCTTTGGAACCCGACCCTCCATCACCGTCCAAACCACCGAAAATGATCGCTGCGCCGTTTGAGCCGCAACCCCATCCCACAAAGAATACGAGCATGGATACACTCTCAAATCAAATCCATAGTCTCACGGACATTGCAAGCGGCTTGCAGCGTGAGATGATGAATTTGAGCCGACGCAGCAAAGATAATGCCACCGACTTGGTCAGCCTCAAAGCGGCAACCAACGCACGCGACGAAGACATTCGCAAGAGTCTTAAGGACCTGTCTTCTCATCTTACAACCAAATATCTGGATGCTGATGCTACAAGGTTTGATTTCAGCAATCTTTTCAAGGGTGGTGATGGGCCTAACCCCAAGGATCCGGATAGTCCCGTCTCGAAGAGAAGCTACTCCGTGCCTCGCATGCCGAGCCCCAACCCATTCGCGTTTGATAGGGACTCTTGCGTCTCCCCCGCACCGATTTCCGACGGGTCCGCAGCCCTTGCTTTGCTCGAAAAGGTATTACGCGAAATGGCGACTAAGGAAGGTGAGGAGAGGATCTTGGAGCTTGTTGAAGAGATCAGATCTCGACCCGCAGCTACCGCTTCGGACAAAGATGCCGATGATAAGATCACTGTCATGCTTGAAGAGATCCTCAACCTCGTCAAAGAGGATCCCGCGAGCAAAGCCCTCGTCCGATCTTACGGCATGGCTGCCAATCCTGATAATATCGAATCTGGAGATGCCTCCCCCGAGGCCACACGATCTGGTTCGATGGGATCAGTGGATCCCGAAATTGTACGTGCACTTGACCTATCCAAATCGGACAAGGGAGATGGTTCTTCGCCGAATCCCGATGAAGTTTTGGCAATTCTTAGAAGTGTCAAGAATAGCGTCGTCGAGGCAGGTGGAATGACCAATGGTGTGAAATCCTTGGTACGCGAACTACGAGGTGAGGTTCTGGGCATGGGTCGAGAGCTCGGCCGGCGGCTAGACGAGATCGAGACCTCCCGCGCTAATGACGAGCCCGAGGAGCAACCTCGGGCTGCCGGCCCAGAAGAAGTTTCCGCAATCGTCAACCGCAGCCTGGATGACCTCAAAGAGCAGCTGGCTGCTACTATCAACGAGAGTCGGCAGCAATCGTCCGACCTGTCCGAGTTCCGATCAACCATGAACAGTGCCGCAATCTACTCTGTGGTGAAAAAAGCCCTCGATGAGCTGGAGCTTCCTCAACCCCAAGCCGAGTCTCGAGGTGCTGAAATGGACAGAGAAGATATCCTCGAGACTGTTCGCGAAGCTTGGGAGACCTACAAGCCCGAAATTGAGTTTAACAACTTTGGCTTGGAACGAGATGAAATCCTCACATGTCTTGAAGAAGGGCTCAAGTCTTACCAACCCCAGCACGAACAGGCCGTCACCTACGACCAGGTTCTCGCAGCCGTCGAGGACGGGATGCAGAAGTTCATTCCTCCACAAATCGAGCACCCACCAAGTATATCTCGGGACGAGATAATCTTGACGATCCGGGAATGCTTGGAGAAGCAGCCCGAGCCTGCCTCCAGATCCCTTGACGAGGAACACGTCGGCCATCTCCACTCGATGCGTGACGAGATTCTCGATGCTGTTTCAAAAGCCATGGCGAGTCATAACGAAGGTTCAAGGTCTCTGGACGAGGAACATGTCAATCACCTCTATTCCGTCCGCGATGAAATTCTCGATGCGGTCACTGGGACGATGGCAGCCAACAATATGCGCCCCAAGTCTTTGGATGAGGATCACGTCAGTCACCTCAACTCTGTTCGCGATGAGATCATTGAAGCCGTCACTGGGGCAGTGACAAGCCAT